TCACGCGCCAGGATTCGTCACACCTCGACATCCATCCTAGATGTAAGCTTCGAATTTGGGATTTCAAGGCATTGCAGTCCCTGGTCAGCTTCTCGATCTGTGTAGATACACGTTTGGCGCTTTCGTCCTTTGACATGATCGTCGCGTGTTGTTCGTCAATCTTATCTTGCGCCTCCTGGCTAAACTTGTTTGCACGCTCCAACTCCTTCATGGTGTTGTGCAGAGAAAGTGTCATAGACTGGAGCTCTTTAGCTTTGAACTGAATCTGGCTCTGTAGTTCAAAGCACTCCTCTTCCTTGGAGGCATGCTTGCATTTGGACTCCTCGAGCGCGTGGGTGAGGTACACCATTACGCCTTCTGCACGGTCGCGTTCGCGGCGCACTTGAGACAGCTCCCTACCGAGTCCATCACGGAATTCGAGGTGGGCGACGACTTCCTTCTCGCTCTGTTTGAGCGCAATTTCGGTGTTGGCGAGAATGGATTTGGTACCGACGAGGCAGAGGTCAGTACTAGTAGGCTTGGTTTGGGAGGCGTGGAGTTCGTCTTTGACTTCAGACAGCTCGGCTCGAGCAGCCTTGATTACTTGCTCCTGAATCTTGGCTCGACAGATCGCTTCGTTGAATTTCTGTTCGTTGTAGACCATGCCGATAAGAGCAGCGAGGAGAACCATTCCGGCTGCAGTGGGCCATGCCAAAGAGATCATTGTGGTCGCCAGCGGAGCGACCAACTTGATCATAGGCATGGGGAACATTGTGATCGCCAGATGGTAGTGTAAGATGCACTCTCTGTTATGCTGTAAGTGGTTGTGGTAATTTTTGTTCGTCGTGAAAATCAGGTATCTTGGAGAGAAAGGGTGTGAAGTAAATCAGCAGTGGTGCAGCGTACTACATAGTTGTATACTTGAGTAGGAATTTCCTTGCCCAGATGCGCGTATTTTGGTATCCATGGTTCAGATGATCATAAGGCTGCTGCGGACATATATCGTGGGTGCGCAATCACCTTAGTCCGTGGGACGTATGGACACTCCCATCGTAATCCTGTGACGGTTATAGGCAAACCATGGCATCAATAGTGGAGACCCAAATAGAAAGTGGATTTTAGAAATAGCCAATTTGGTCCACGTGTAGTGAACATCAAAACGGCCGTTGGAACATCGTAGAATAAGATACTCGTAGGCTTAAGCATATGCATTGACTGGTACCATGTACCCGCGCAGGACGACACTGGATGCTGGGTCGCATAATCAACGAGTGCTCACTCTTGATGATCTCGTTTAGCGTATGACCAATACTGGAGCCATGGTAATCGCTTTTGAAATTTTGATATGTACAAGAAGATGCTGGTTGACCCAGTGAATCTTTATCGGTGTAGGTCCTATCAACGTAAATCGTTTCGAAATGCGACTGGAGTGGTAGGGCCGTATGCCGCAACTTTTGTACCAGGATTTCGTCCTGCGACTACTGAGCCAGTCGGGTGCGTGACAATGCAACAACAAAATCGCCGACGCGAGCTGACTCCAAATCGCTCAGGTTAAATGCATGGCAACAAGCAAGCCTACTCGTTCAACTCAACATAGTTGGCGGGGAAGAGACCCGATTGGCCATTGTAGCTACCGAGCCACCAGTCTTCGTCGGGGAATTGCTGCAAGAGTATTAGCATCGGTTTTAGCAGTGGTGCAGGTAGTCTTACAAGTTCAGTTACTGTGGCTCCTTCGGGGAAGCTCAGTTCGTTGTCCTCAGCTGCTTCGTAATCGTACAGAGCGGTGGCTGTAGGGCCAGCAGACTGTGATGGTGCCGCAGCAGGTTCGGGCTCTTGCGGCGCCGAGGGGTGTGCGGGCAATGCTGGTGCAGCGGCGGCATCGTCGCCCTCGACCAGCTCAACATAGTTGGCCGGGAAGAGACCACGCTCGCCCTGAGAGTTTGTGCCCATCCACCAGTCGTCGTCTACCATGTCTATGTCTGTGACATACTCGCCTTCACGAAGCTCGACTTCGTTGTCCTCCGCCTTTTCGTAGTCATATTGGATGACTGCGCGCTTGCCGGAGCCACCGGCATCGTCATCGTCATGAGAAGCGACCGCTGCGCCGACGGCAGCACCGCCTACTGCGGCAGCACCAAAAGTGGCAGCAGCAACGGCAGCGCCAGCTCCACGAGCAGGGTCCTTGGCCTCGACTTGTGGCTCTGGAGACATGTCACGATTTTGCCTGGCTGCTTGATCAAGTGATCGCGCGGGCATAGGCGGTGCGTGTTCCTCGGCAGGAGACATCTCCTCTGGTTCGCGCCCACGAGCAACGGGCATGGCAATACGAACAGGAGAGCCGGAAGGCTCGGGAGACGGGCTGCGAGGTGGTTGAGGTGGTGGAGATGGCATACGCTGGTGTTGAGTGGCAGGCACATCCTCTTCGTCTGATTCCGGCTCTTTGGGTCGGGTAGGCAGGCCTGGCATCGGAACGCCCCTCGGGCCAGCATTGGGCTTGCTCGAGGTATCGAGAGGCGGTGGGCTGGAAGCTTGCGGCTCTGGTACAGGGCGTGAAGTTGGCGCTCCCATAGGGGCGGCACCTGTGAAGCGGTCCTTGAGCGAGCTTACGCCGCCAGCTGCAGGAGAGGCTGGCTCTTCTTGTTGAGGTGCCCCACCCGTGCGTTGTTCGCTGAGGTTGCTAGTCGCAGACTGACCTGTTCGGGTGGTCTGCACAGGAGCCCATGATTTGCCGGAGTAGCCACTTTGCCAGCCACCACCTCCACTCTGTTGGCTTTGGAGGGGAGTTGGGCGGCTTCCAGCATCGGCAGTAGAAGAAGGAACGGCTTCTCCACGGGCTGCCTTCTTCTCCGCCCAGATCTGAGCAGGTGTCTTTCCTCCTTGGTCAGCAAACGTCTTGCTCGCGGCGCCGACGATTGGTGCCGGAGGAGCGGGCTTTGCACCAAAACCTCCTGGAGTAGGAGCTTTGGTGCCGGTGAATGTGCTCGCACCAGCGAACTTGTTGGCAACCTTGGGCTTCGGCAAGCTGGTAAGGCGCTCGGGCTGCGCGCTGAAAGCTGCTGATCTCTCTGCGAGAGACTTCGGCTTCTCTTCCTCTTCTTCGTTGTTCGACGCTCCCGTTGGGGCTGGGGACATGCCAGAGGATGGTGGACCGGCTTGGGCTTTTGCGCGGATAGCGGCGATATCGACCTTTCCGACGGGCTCGTACGCGCCTTTGACAACAGTAGGCCGGTCGTCTTTGGCATCGCGCGCCTGGGCCCGGATGGCTGCAATGTCGACTTTGCCAACTGGCTGGTATGCGCCCCTGACGACTTCAGGGCGGTCGTTCTGCGAGCCCGAGGGCTGGGAACCGGTGGATTCGTCTTTTCTCGCGGTGAGCTCGGCCATGTTGACCTTGGTGGGAGTGTAGGCAGTTCCGACCTTCTCCAGCTGGGATCTGGAGACCTGCGGGGCATCAGCACCCCAGCCATCCGCATCTTCATCGCCCTTGGGCGCAGGTGCACGCGAGCGGCCGAGAGGGTTGAAGCCAGCGCCTCCACCGCCTATCGAGGTAGGTGTAAAGACGGGCTTCTTCGCGGCAACGGGAGGAGGGCCGCGCGGGGCAGGGACATCGGCACCGCCGCCGTACTTGGCGCCTGATGCGTCTGCAACTTTCTGGACGATTTTCTCTGGGCTGAGGTCGTCCTCGGAACGGGCGGTAACTTGGACATGGTATCCCTATGGAAATTAGCTTGTGCGTGGAGGGGCCGTGGGAGTACGCACATGTAGCAGCTTGGAGACAACCGTGAGATGGCTGCCAAAGTAGCCCTTAGTCCGCTCTGGAACACCTGCGCCGCACTGCGTGTGAATTAGCATTGTATCCCTGGCAGCTGCGGCGGAGAGCTTACCCATGCTATCAGGACGTTCTTGGGCAGCGATGTGTTGGGGTCCTTGACTTTGACGAATGCAAACTGGATGCGGCCGTCTGAGAACTCGTCTATCAGGTCGAGTAGCTCGCCCTCTGCAGGATGTTAGCACATATTCTCGGTGGTGTCACTCTTGCCTGCTGTGCTGCGCTTCGTGTTGTGCCGAGACCCGAGCTTGGGCAGCCACCTTGCCATAGCCCAAGCTCTCGAGTGCGAAATGATGGCCATTGGGGGTGTGCCGCGCTGTTCCACGTACCTCCGGTGCTCTGCACTTTCAGCACGCTCTCTTTTCCGCCGTCCTGCTGGAACGCGCTGACAAGCGGGGCAGCGACTGTGAAGACGGCCCATTGGCCGTATGTGGGCGAGCTGGCCTGGGGACCAGAGGGCGCCGGGGCATTGACGACATTCTGGTAGCTGCGGGTGATGTTGGGGCCGTTGCTGGAGGTGTTGAGCGTGGCCATGGTGGGCGGCGTGGAGGGGAAGCTGTCGTGGGAGACGAAGCTTGGGGGAGTGGTGGAGAAGAGGAGGTGGAGGAAAAGCAGCACTCGGAATTGACAGCTAGCACGATGCGTGGTGGGACAGGCAGCGTACGCGTATCCCGTATGTGTGTCTGTGTAATTGGGCGTGAATTAACCTAGTCGGGTCGGGCAGGTCAGCACAGGCGGGCCACAAGTTCGGTGTGCAGAGCTGGCAGCTATGTCATGCTTGGCCCGCGCCCTCGAGCGGCTGGCGCTGGCGCTGGTGGCAGGCAAGCGGTGCCGACGGCGCGCCCAACGACCTTCAAGGAGACCCTCGTCCGCTTCACCGTGAATAATTGGACATAGCTCCTCGCACTGCCTGCCCTCGCTGCATGCCAAAGCAGCTTTCTGCATCCTTCAAACCGCCGCCTAGACCCCAGGCTCCATCCTTCTAGCCCTCTAGCCCTCTTCACCTCCACTCTGCCACGACAAACACTAGCATCGCCAACACACGCAGCGCACCGCCTTTTCCGCGCTCCATCTCATCGCGCGCTGCTCCATCGCATCGTCATCCATCGCATGTCGCTGTCTCTGTGTCTCTAGCCTGCGCATGCCGACAATGAGTCTGTTGTGAACGCTGCCCCAGCACGGCTGCGCCGCCATGGAGGACCGCGAATCAAGCCCAGCGTCGTCGGTCGACTTCTACGGCTCTGACGCGAATCCTCCCCAGGCGACGGCTGCGCACAGCGACGCGCCTGTCGCAAAGCGCAAGGCAGAGGATGCGCCCCATGAGCGTGAAAAGAAGCGCAAGCTCAGCAGCGCGAAGCCGCTCGTGAAGCTACCACCCGAGTTGTGGCAGCATGTTTTCTCTTTTTGTTCGCTTGCAGATCTCGGTCGATTGATCCAGGTCAATCGATCTTTCTTATCCTATCTCACAGACGTGCGCAGTCTGTCGACTTCAAAGTCGCATCCTGGCCGTCTGCATCTCCTAAAGTCCGAGTCGTTGTGGGCCTCTGCCCGCAACGCAATGTGTACCAAGCCCCCGAAGCCGCTCCCAGGCTTCAGCGAGCTGCGCATGTGGCAGCTGGCTTGGTCCAGGAGATGTCAGTTCTGCAATAAGCTTGATTCTCTGACTCCAGGCGAGCGCATATGGCAAAAGGGCCCCGGCAAAGACGGCGTCCGCGTCATTTGGCCCTTCGCCATCAGAGCCTGCGGGCCGTGCCTGCTCAAACAATGCCAGACGGTGAGTTGCACCTTCCGCTTCCTGGGTCGCGACTGACATGTATAGGACGCGAGCCTTCTCTTCTCGGCTGCCTCCGCCCTGCGGCCCGCCCTCCCGTTCGCCCTCCTCACCAGCGACCAGCACTACATTCCGGCATACACCCTGCAATCTGCGAATACGCCCGCCGACGTCGACATTGCCAAATTCTACTACAAGCAGCATGTCGAGGAGATCACGCAGGAGATGAACGAGGCCATCAGTCGTGGCCCTGCAGCAGCTGAGGAGTGGTCCAAAGGACTCGATGCTCGCGGAAAAGAACGCATGAAAGTCGCCGAGAACTGGGAACGCTGGGAGGTGAAGAACCTGTGGCAGGAGGAGCACGAGCGTGCGAAGCGCGCTCCTTCTGCAGCTCCCTCGCATGCCGCCACGTCACACAAGGACCCGTCTAAATCACCCCCTCGTCGAACTCCCTCTCCCATAATTCATGCTCCGGTTCCAGCGAGTAAGTATACCTCTGCTGTCTCATTTGCTGCCACACATGGCGATGCCTTTCGATATGTCAACAACACCTCTCCAGTCCCCTCCCTAACAGGTGTAGCACCATCGTCGCAGCATGCGCAAGCGCGACCGCCTACTGTTCCACCACAGGCTTTCACCCCTTCTGGCCAGAGAAACCTACACGATGCAAACGAGGCCAAGGCGACCCGGAAGACCGACATAGAACGCCGGTGTCAGCAAATGGACCCTCCTATCGCTCCCAACGTCTTGCGCCACATGGACTCGTTCAAAGCCGCTATCCAGATTTCACAGCCAATGAACGACTATGCATGGAGTGTGCTCCAACCCCGCTTGATCGCTCAGCTCCCTGCTGCCCAACAAGCAGAAGCCGACCACGTGGCTCGGGCTGCCTCGTTTCCCACAAAAGCTGCCGACCGCCGCCACACGGACGCCAATTCCAAGGAGGCCAGGGAAGTCATGGACCGAGAGTGGGAAGAGTCGCAACGGCCCATCCGCGACAGACTCGAAGCCATCGCCGACGACTTCATTAATCAGAGCTGGGACCATGGCAGCGCCGTCACTTACGACAACAGCCCAAAGTTTGCGGCCGACCTACTTGCTCATGTGCGCCGCACATACTATGCCGAGGAACTCGAACAGGACTCTGATCATCCCGGGCAACATACGCAGCCTTCTACTGACAATATAACTACTAGGCCCAGGCTCGTCCTGGATAACATGAAATGGGTGTACGACAACAAGATCAAGCCTTTGACAGAACCATTCCGGAAGGACATCTTCCTGTGCCATGGCGGCGGATGCGAGTACAACAACAAGTACTATGGTTTCGAGGGCGTCACGCAGCACTACGGAGCCAAACATACTGCTGCCTTCAGTTCAGGAAACGTGGTTGTTGCATGGAGAGAAGCCGAGTGGCCGGAGGAGACTCCCTTCCACCCAGATCCTCTCTCTGTGAAGCAACCTCAACATGGTCATCATCCCTCTTCTAGTACGAATGGGTTTGGTGGCTATTTTGGCGGATACTCACGCGCAGGGACATCAACACCTCATATGCCAACTCACCATCCACAGGCGAGCCCTGGTCCTTACAACTATGGAGGCCAGTACAATGGACCATTCGCTCCACCACAGGTTCCTTCTGGCTTCGAGTACCCCCAGCCATATGCGACACCCGTGGATATGTATGCACATCAAGCAATGGGTCCTCCAGGTTATGGTGCTCATGCGGCCCAAAACCCTTACCTGACTTCTCCAGCGATGATCAACAATGCCATAGCTCCACCACCACCCAACATGCCACCACCTAGCCAAGGAATTCCTGAGATCGCTCCTAGCGGTACAGAAGATACTGGCCAAAGTACTAGCTCGTTTGACAAGCAAGTAAGTACCGTCATCGACATGACCCAGGACATCTGGAAACGCACCTCGGGGATCAAAGACATGCCGAATAGCCTCCGGATCTATGTGTTGCTGCATCGCGTCATCTCCAAGTTTCATGTAGAGTTCAATCATGAACCGAACCTGAACCACTTCATTGATGCGCTGTCTAATCATGAGATGCCAAAGGCTTTGAAGAATGCACCAGGACTCTCATGCAAAGCTTGTCAGACGGGCGCTTCGCATAACTTGGGAGGTTCCTATTACTCTAAGTCGGAGGAAAGAACAACCTATACTGTCCTCGGCCTGTTATCGCACTTCAGGAGCCAGCATCTGCCTTTTCAGCAACCAATGCCTGGCCACGGAATGCCAATTGCCCCTCTGGACTGGAAGGAACACATGATCGAGCTTCCAAGCGAACGGTTCATTTCTGGTCTCATACACGCCCCAGGCATGGATGACGAGAAGCTGCTAATGATAGCGACCGTCTTTCCCAGCTTGTTCCCTATGCCACTGCCGAAGATTGGCGTGATTGATAGCCATGGACTAGCTTCCCCAGCCTCGTCAGGACCCAAGGATTCAGACAAAACCCCTGGTGCAGCCGATGTTGCTGGTGAGGGAATAGCACGCCCCAACTCTGTTATGAAAGCAGCAGAAACAAATTCGGCGCTACCACCTAAACCGCTGGAGGCTGGTTATGAACCTGTTCGACCAAGCCTTGCCGGCGAATCGAATGAGGCGTCGGGCTCTATGAATAGGAAACGTTCATATCGAGAGAGCTCCCCCGCAGAGCGTAGGCAGCACCATTATGCTGAGCCGCGATACTATGTACGTGATCTACAAAATCCCGCAGAAACATTAGTGAAACTAACATCTTTGTCTGCCAGCTGCCGAGGGATCACCTTGATGACGGCTATCATCGCCCCCGGGAGTATGTGGAGTACGCCCCCAGCCCAAGGATCATCCATGCAGGTCCTACATATGAGGATTACACCGGCCGCCGAACAGCGTTCCGCGAGCAAGAGCGGTTCTATGGACCACCCGAGGACGTGGTCTACGCACATCCGCGGGAAGGAAGCCACGGCAGTCGGGAATACAGTGCCTATCCCCGCCAGGCTCGATACTATGAAGAAGATGATCATCGGTCCGAATACCGGTTCATGAACGAGCGTCAGTCAAGGGATGCCAGTCCACCTCAAGGGCAATCTGCAGCAGATCGGTTCCTAGCAGAGAACGAACCCCCACAACCACAACCACAGTCCGAAGTAGACGCTGCTGCACCAGCGCAGGAAAACGGGGATGGGCCTCGTTACACGCCTCCGCCTCCAGAAGCTCCTGCACCAGCAGATGCAACAGCACCTGTTCGCCCACTTGCGCCCCCACATCCTCGAGCTCCTTCCACTGTTTCCAACAACTCCCGATATGACGACTATCAACCTAACGGGTATCGGATGCCAATGTCTGGACCAAGCGGTCCGCCACGAAGGGCTGGACCTCAACGCCGAAGAGATCGGCCTAACGATAACCGGGGACCGTCTCGATATCAGCGATACATGAGTGTTGCGCGGGAAGATCCCTATGGACGTGGTTCCAGCATGAGCCGATCGCAAAGCCGGAGATATGAAGAACAAAAGCGTCGCATCGATCAACAAGAAACACCGCAGCCCAATGCTGAGCCTGACTACGAGCCTGCGTATTCTCGGGAGCACAGCCTTGATCAGTCTGTACAAGATGAAGGATTCTATCCACCTGCCCGCCGTCATCCCCGCGGGTACGTCTCTGTGCAAGACCGTCTGCATCCACATGCACACGGGTACTCACCGCCACGATATCGTTACGATGAACCACGCGGTCCACAACCAGTCTATGTTGACGAGTACGGGCATCCCATGCATGACTACGAGGTCATTCGTGTACGTGGTGACACCAGGTATCGGGCCCCGTATATGCCACATCAGCCTCACCGATATGAACATGACTCATATGGATATGTCCCAGTCCAATACGAGAGACCTGCACCACAGAGATACAATAGTCGCCCTGACGACTATATGTACTACGAAGAAAGGGAGAGACCCTTGCCTAGGCGAGCGGCGCCGGAGGCAGAGAGCGATGTATACGAGCCGCCGCAACCAGAGATCAAGGTGGAAAGCGTGCCTGTGCCCATGCCGCCGGAGGCGTCTTGATTTCAGATTTAGCGTGGCGTTCAATCATGTAACGAATTTCGCACCTTGTTTATACCTTTACTTTTCTACACGTGGTTTTCTCCTGGCTGGATCATACGGACTTAATGGGTTCATCCTACCTATCACGATCAAATGGTTGGTACTATTCAGTCACAAATTCTTGTGCAATCTCTTGCCCGACTTTAATATGATGGTTTTACTTGTACGAGATTGTGTGCTCTGGGTGACAGTCAAGTCAATTTCATGATGCGTGACGTCGATCAGAAACAGGCTCAGATTTCGAAAAGCTAGATGACGAGCGAGTTTTGTTGTGGCACGCGTGCCTTCTATAGGGTATCAAAATGAGGACACGATGCAGAATGATAAACAGGTCTATGCGGTCGACTGAATCACTGGCTCAACCGAGGACTTCTCATCCACGCCCTGAGCAGCAGCATCAATTTTGTTTTGAGCGAGACGCTGTAATACTGTTAGTATAGTCCCGTAGCTAGACGCATGATTACGTACCAACAGATTCCTCAAGAGCACTGCAATAGTGACTTTGCCGATGGCAGGAACGTAGATGGAGGCTTTTTCCTTGACCTCGGGCGTGAAGTTCCTCTCACTGGAAAAGTTGATGCATGCGGCTCCGTCCCTCATCAACTCGAGTGGCACCTTGTACTTATCTCCAGGTACACCGCTGATGACTACATCGCTAAGTGGGAGGCAATCGTTGAGGGTCCAGCCAGGCTTCTCCACTACCTCGTGTCTTCGCTTTCGTAGACCAACGCCTCGTGTGAATTCCTGCACATCGCTGATATCCACGCTGTAGACATGGGCACCGTCGTTGGCAAGTAGTGCTGCAAGCGGTCTGCCTACCACTTCGCTTCTGTTGATGACGGTAATGGTGCGTCCGTGCAATCTGTTACCGTATGGCAGGATGGTGTTGTAGATTCTCAAGTACTCCAGGATCTTGATCACGGCCAGGGGTGTGCAAGGCAAGATGCTCTTCTTGGTGTTGGCAGGGTCAAGGAAGCGAATATTTTGGTACATGTTGAAAATGTAACGATGCGACAGTCCTTCCACGTCCTTGTCGATGGAGACAATCTGCTGGAGATATTGGTCCTGGCGGTTACCGAAGATGGGGTAGTAGACAATGATGCCGTCCACGGCAGCGTCGTTGTTCGCTTCGATGAGGCGGTCCTCAAGGAGCTCGCGGTCGACTTCGCGCAGGTCAAATGCGAAGCCACTACAATGAGGTTAGTAGGCGGCTTTCACCCGACTTCCAGCCAAATCCTCAGCCATAGAAGAACTGAGTATCAACTAGTGGACGCGCTCACTTTTCAACACAAGTCTTGCCTGTCCATTCTGCGTATACCCTGGCGGCAGGATCTGCGCTGGAGAGGAAGCCAACGAGTAGCGGCTTGCGCGGAATCTTACTTAGACCATCGCGCACTTCGTCCAAAAGACCCTTGGCGATGTTGTTCGCAAGGATGACTTTGCAGTTAGGTTTATCGTCGGCCATGGCGGGGTAACTTTGCTGTTCTGGGGATGATGAGCAGCGGAATGGTCGACGATTGGAATAGTAGATCCAAGGTATGAGTCGGTCCAGAGAAGACGATTTATTTCACAGCACGGGGCCACAGGGACCAGTCAAGCCTCCCCCCTCGGGTCAATTAAACACACTTTCCTCACTGCCGACACTTCCCATTAACTTTTTTTGCGCGACCCGCCCCACCATTCCGATACCGGCCAATCAGCAGCACCGCAACTCCGTAACGTCATTGCCGCGACTGTGCAACTTTCTGAATCGCGTGCTTCGAGGCATACGGCAACACATTGCAACATACCGCACCCGCGACGATCAACATGTCAGATGCTCAGCAGTATCTGCTGGACTTTGATAGGAACAAGAAAGAAGCCACGGCGACTGCTCAGCGGAGCGCGACGCGTATGTACGAGGTTCCGGCGGGGCATCTGGCGGGATGAGGGCTGATTGTGGACAGGACTGAAGAATGGCGAATTGAAGCTTATCAGCCTGGTCACTGACCTTGGGGAATACTTGAACAGTGAAGATGGAGCCACACGGTCGAAGAGTACGTATCGCTCTGGAATCTAGTAGGAGCTAGGCTAATTCCTCGTAGCGATGTCGTACCTTGCGGAGGTACTCGCAGCCGTCCCACAGAAGGTTCTTTCCCTCCAACAACGTACGTAAACCCGCGCCCGCTCAGGCTATACTATATTGTTCCTCGTACACATCCATCGCATGTCGCAGACCAAAACGATCGTTGGTACTGGGGCGGAGCATTGGCTATGGATTACATTTCCAGGGCGAGAGCATCGTGTCATGAGATAAAACCGGGCTAACGGGAAGCTTAGGGAACCTGCTCTGCGACTTCACTCTTTCCCGAACCGAAGACAACGAAGGCCTCGGGTCATGCGCAAAGGCACTCCTGGCGCTGGAAGAGCTTGGGAAGTGGGACGACCAGCGGGTAGTCAGCATCGTTGAGGCACTCCTCAATAACACACATCCGCTACGGCAATACAAGCAGCAGAGCGAACGTTACCCCGTGCTGCGCCTGATCGATACGCTCATGGCGAAATACCGCGACGCCCTGAGAGCCCACCACGATGCGACACCAGACTTCTTGGGACGCTTCATATCATACTTTGACGGAGAGAAAGATCCTCGGAACTTGATGGTCGTCTTCTCGATACTCAGGGTTCCGATGACGGAATGGAACATCGGCGGAGATGCACAGGACCTGTTTGACGCAGTCTTCAACTACTTCCCGATTACCTTCAGGCCGCCACCTGATGATCCGTATGGCATCACGGCGCAGGACCTGAAGGATCGCTTGCGAGATTGTATTTCATCCACGGCCGACTTTGCGCCATATGCGTTCCCTGCGCTTCTGGACAAGCTCGATTCCACATCGATGAACACCAAGCGAGACGTTCTGTCAACGATTACAGCCTCAGTGACCGAGTACGGACCAAGGACAGTATCTTTATACGCGGTCACGCTATGGGACGCACTGAAGTTTGAAGTCTTGAATGTACAAGAGGAAGACCTGGCGAAGGAAGCGCTTGCAGGTCTAGCAGCAATTGCACGGACACTATCGAAGGGTACCCCAGGATCACTCAATGCGTATCTCAAACCTGTTATCAAGGAGTGCAACGAACACCTCGAAGATGCGCCCACGAAGCAATCCCAAGCTTCCGCAAGGTTTCTCGAGAGCATCGCCAATGTGTCTCCCGAAGTTACTAGCCTCGTACTGGCCGGTGTGCTACCGAATCTTTTCCTACTATTCCAGACAGCTGACACAATGGCAAAGCGCCGGGGTTTACTGGAAGTTCTCGTACAACTAGTAAAAGCTAACATCGACGTCTATGGTGACTGGAGAAAGATGGGCCCTGGTGGAGAAGAAATCAGCAACAATGCGCTCGCTCAGTTCCGAGACCAAGCGCTAGAAGTCATGTTGAATGGTCTCGAGACGGCCCCAGCCAAAGAAGTGTCGTTCAGATTAGTCTGTCTTGATGGACTCATCCAGCTATCAAAAGCGCGAGGTCTGCTTAGCGATGACGATATCGGCAGAATCATTCAGCTTCTGCATTCCATCGTCATCCACGAAGAATCACATGGAAAGGACGAGGTCAAGGAAGCAGCCATCAACGGTATCGTTGAGATTGCGCACCAGAAGCCACAGGTCGTAGTCGAGAAAGCGTTCCCGGCTTTCCTTGCGCAACTACCAGACACAGACGCAAACGGGTCAACACATTACTCAACGGTCCTCGAAGCATTCGCCAAGCTCGCCAGCGAAGAGCAGGTCTTCGACACCGTCATTCTGCGACTCAAGAACAAGTTCAGCGCGGCAGTCCAACAGGGCGCTTCTTCTACATACATCGTCGCGCTTCTTTCCGCGATGTTGTATGCCCTCAAGAAGGGCGAGAACAAGCTGTCGCAGGGCTCAGACAGCTCCACTTACTACAAGGACATCGCGTTGCCACTCATCGAACGCGCATCAAGTTCTGATGAAACACATCCAGCGGCTTTTGACGACGAGACCACACTCGATCTTGTCGGCCGCATATGCAACTTGATCATCAGGTACCTTCCTACCGAACAGCAGAATAATGTTGCTGTGGAGCTGTACACCTTGTTCCGTGGCAAGCCACAAACCGAACTACCACCCTTCAGTGTCGACGCCGGTGTGGAAGCGAACAAGACGATGATTGTTTCCACACACCTCCTCGCTTCCCTGCACAAAGATGCGACACTACCTTGTGAATTACAACTTTTGATCTCTTCTCTAGCAAACTACGCTCAGCAGCCCTCATTATCCCTACCAGTCCGATCAGCATCCCTTCGGCAGATGTCTCTCATCATCAACAAGTACTATACCAGCGCTGCACTTAAGACATGCATGGACCCTCTCGTCGCGGACTTTGATCTTCTCAACCCGGAGAAGCTTGATCCGCCACGGATACGCATCATCTTCGCGTGCCTCAAGGGTATTGTATTGCGGAGCAGCCCTGCGCTGAACACACTGTATCCGACGCTCTTGTCTTTGCTATCACATCCGAAGTATGGCAGTACCGTCGCGCAAGGTTTCACAACACTTCTGCAACCCGACGACCTTCTCAGCAAGGAAAACCACTGCCAGATCCTTGGTCTCCATAAGCATAAGAGCTTTGCGTTACTGGTACCGAACATCACAAAATCATTCCGGGAAGCGGATGCCCAGACGAAGCCCAATTATCTCATCGCACTGAGCGGAGCACTGAGATGGATGCCATTTGAGATAGTAGTCGAGGAAGTTGGACAGCTTGTTACCCTGCTTCTCCAATCTTTGGACCTCAAGGGCGTGGACGTTGTTAAGGAGGCTGCAATCGGCACTCTCACTTCAACTCTCACGGAGAAGCCGGAAGTGCTCGAGGAGCATGCTGGTGCACTCATCTCTCGTCTTCTGAACAACGCTACCGTTACGAAGGAAAACAAGACTACGCCACCACCGCCAGCAGTGAGGGTAGCAGCTTTGAAATGTCTGCATCTGGTTGCAGAGAAGTTCAAGGAAGAGAGAATACTAGGCTACAGGAGAGAGGTCGTTAGGAGACTCATTGCTGCTCTGGATGATGGGAAGAGAGATGTCAGAAGTGCGGCTGTGAAATGCCGGGCGAAGTGGTTACTAGCTGATGAACCAGACGATGATTAGACAGTAGACAGGGCATTATTAGATGATAAAGTCTGAACATCACTCGAATCGATTTGACTTTTGAGACGCCTATGACTTGCTACAAACGTGCAGATTGGTATAGTCTCGCCCAACAGTTGAACGCCAGAGGCACCCTTAACGCCGCCCATGCAGTTACATCTCATGTCTTGTTCCATTTCATACTCTGGCCTTCTTTGGCGTCTTCTCCTCCTCCTCGCCTTCACTCGCCGTGTCCTCGACACCAACCTCCTCGTCATCCTCGTTCCTTCCTCGCTTAAGACCCTTCATCTTCCTCGTCTGCAGGTTGCCAAAGTCTTGCTTGCCAAGATGCACCTTGGCCACCTTGTCACCCATCATATCAGTGTCAAAGTTCTTCTTGGTGCGCGGCTCAGCACCCTTGGGCTTCTTCAGCGCCTGCTTCATCATATCCGGGTCAGGGAACATTTCGCGGCCGAGGGTAAAGTCCATGCGCGGGCCCATCTCCTCGACTTCGATGCGCGGTAGCTTTTGGCCTGAGCGCTTAGTGCGGAGGAGGTAGAAGCGGAGTTTTATTTGCGGGTTGGGGAGTGCGTCGGTGGGTTCTTCAGCGGAGACGGAGATGAGGTATTGGAGGCCTTCGACGTCGACTTCGATTGCGTCTTGGCCCTTGAACAGGTCGATGAACAGGCTCTTGGCTAGTGTGTATTTGGTTTGGTTGGGGTCCTCGAAGACGGTGCCGTGGAAGCTGATTAGTGGCTTGAGGCCGATGGAAGGCTTCTTGTTCTTGAATTGCTGCAGCGTCCGGAAAGTCTCTGCGTTGATGTACAGCTCCAGCATGTCCAGCATCTTGTATGAGAATGTTCTTGCCAGTGTCAAGCAATGTGGTCGCTTCTTTGAGTGTAGAGAGAGAACGAGGAGCGAGGTGTCGTTCTTTTGGGAGAAGAACTCGAGCGAAGTTGCATCGTCGAAGGGGTGGATGTCGTTCTTTTTGGTGAAGCGCTCGATGAAGGGTCGCTTGATTGTGCAGAGGTCGGCGACGGCGAGCTTGAGGATCTGAGACGTCTTCTGGCCAGAGACGAAGAGCGTCGTCTTGGGGTTCTCGTTCTGTTGCGGCTCGCGCTTTGCCATTGCGCGCTTGGCGCGGGCATTCTTGGGTTTGCTAGAGTGGCATGTTAGAGTCGCTCATGCGTGCAGAAGCGGTATTCATCTTTACGTACACCGTCTTCAGCATCTTGTCGTTGTTATCTGGGTTGGTTGCTGATGCCGAAATCTTGGCTAACAAAAAAGTTCCCGGGATCAACGGCGCCGGAGACACGTTTCGCCGATCTGATAACGGAGAAGCAGGCCATAGCGGGGTGATTCCGCAATTCGGCCTCTGACGTGATTTCACAGGCGCTTTGCTTCGGGCGGCAACTAAATATTAATCAGATCATACCATCCTTCCAGCACTCTTGCCGCATACAATCCCCACAATCACAACGACACCACGCCCATAGACCAGCCAGGCAACTACACGTCCGCTACACTCGATCAACCGCCCCTTCCTCGACATACGATTAGCATTATGGCTACCATGCAGGAGATGCCCGACGAGTCGGCTTTCCAGTCGACCGTATCCGCGCTCCCACCTTCCACCCTCGCCATCATCTACTTCCACGCGCCATGGGCCAAACCTTGCGAGCAGATGGGCGTCATCCTGAAGACGCTCGCCAGCACATACCCCGCCGATGCGCCGATAAAGTTCCTCTCCCTCAACGCCGAAGAGCTGCCCGAGGTCTCTGAACAATACGACGTCACAGCGGTCCCATACATCGTTTTACAGAAAGACGGCAAGACCCTGGAGACAGTGTCGGGCTCAGATGCATCCAAAGTACGAGCCGCAGTCGAGAAATACGCCGGCGCAGGCAGCGGCCAATCCTCGAGTCTACCACCCGCGCAAACCGTCACACGACCACAGGAGAACGGGGATAGCACAGGCAAGAACCTCGCTGGATACGCGCCTGGCTCCCAGGACCCTAAGACGGCACCCGACTACAGCGCAGGCGAGCACCGAGAAGGCGAACAACAGACAAACAAGGATGAACTACACAGGAGGCTAGGCGAATTGGTTAAGGCAGCGCCAGTTATGCTGTTTATGAAGGGCACACCAAGCTCGCCGCAGTGTGGCTTCAGTCGGCAGACAGTGGCGATCCTGCGTGAGAAGGGCATAAGGTACGGCTTCTTCAACATCTTGGCCGACGACGAGGTTCGCCAAGGACTGAAGGAGTTCGCCGACTGGCCAACTTTCCCACAACTGTGGGCGGATGGTGAGCTAGTAGGCGGTCTTGATATTGTAAGTCCATCATCATGAGTAACTTTGTGTGTGCACAGACGCTAACAACTTGCAGGTCAAGGAAGAGTTCGAGAACGATCCCGATTTCCTCTCCCAGCACGCCGCAGGTGCCCCCAAGACGGCAGCTTAGAGAGTTGCAACCACCTCATTTAAGTAAGGATTTGAACACGCGAACTCGACGAAACGAAGGGAATGTAAATATTAGGAGCACCAGGGGAATCTGAACAGGTGATCAAACCTACGGAATACCAGGGATCTTGCAGCCGAACACGCGAAAGGCGCATCTGGGAGGCAATAATGATGATGGCAGTTACGCAAGCAGATATGCCAAGGGGGTACCGGTTCTGTACTCACCTTGACCGATGTCGTGGTTATTCTCGTCGGTGCAAGTAGAGCGTTGGATTGAAAGTGGACTGTTCGGTAGTCTTCTCAAATCTTAAACTTCTTTCATTCTGCCCACAACTCTAGACAACTTTTGGCTTGTTTGGCCTTACCTTGGGTCGTTGATAGGCCTGACATAATCTTACCACTTTTATGGTTTGGGTTCTATTCTGTCTGAAAAAGTAAAACGATGTTTCAAGACGTTTTCGAAACACTGGTAGCGCGTTTTGGTACCTCACTGCAGTCACACTCTGCTCGTCAAGTCAGATGGAGAACGTTACTATCATGCCTTCCGCAACGCTCATTCGAAGGATACTCTACACGAGAAAAGCGATCATTCCAATAGGTGAGCGTTGGCGCCAGAAATGTGTAATCGATGCGTTGACATGGAGCAAGATCGATCGCGAATTCTATGATGAGCGTCTAGCGCGTTGTTGTTCCGATACGGTTCCCCGCCCGTCGCTGCCCATTCCACCTCACCGCAACACTCTTTTTTCATCATAGATCATTGATTCTTAGGAGAAACTCTAGTCTGGACATTCACAGGCTCTGGAGAGCACTGCACACCATATGTGTCTCACCTCTAGTAGCATGACTGTATGCAGGGGCAGCGGTGGGACGTCTTCAACCACGCTTCGGACTCCGACCCCTAAGCACGGCAAGTCAGTCGCATGCCGCCAAAACTGCTTTATCTGGGTGTCAGCCTTGTTGAAGCATGACCTGCTCGCCCCCACGTTAGATTTTGATCAGTTCACGGTACTAATCTCTAACCATTACTACTTCAAGGCTCCGGCTCGGCCGATTATCGATTGATCGCGAACACGTCAAGTAAAAAAGAACAGATAACAGCGAACATGCCCTCAACATACTCACAGCCAGTTTCCAAAATACCGCCAACGAAGCCCGACACGAGGTCTCTCCCCCGAATCCTCTGTCTGCATGGCGGCGGCGTCAACGCCGCTATATTCAAAGCACAATCGCGATCTCTCATCCGCCACCTTCAACACTCCTTCCGCCTCGTATGGGCCGACGGCCCTTTTTTCTGCGATCCGCATTCAGACATCATCGGCGTCTACAGCGACTACGCGCCTTTCCGACGTTGGCTGCGATGGCTTCCCGAACACCCTGAGATCGATGCGGACACATGTATTGAAGAGATCGGATACGCGATGCGCACAGCAATGGAGGACGACGATCGGGAAGGCGGCACAGGCGAGTGGGTAGGCCTGATGGGCTTCAGTCAAGGGGCGAAGCTGTCCGCAAGCCTACTTCTCGAACAACAAGCGAGGGAAACACAGGCGCGCAAAGAAGGCACGAAGATCGCTACCGGTATCACAGGGATCTCAGGCATAAGGTGGAGGTTCGGAATACTACTGGCTGGTCGGGCGCCTCTGAGCAATCTGAACCCTGAGCTTATGAAGAGTGAGGCTCTTGTGAGTGCGGGCGACATATCGGAAGGGTTTCAATTCTGCAGAGAGGTGGACGAGGAGGTTACACTGCATAAACCCACACTGCATGTCCACGGCATGGCGGATCCAGGACTACACCTTCATCGGAAATTACTACACGAGTATTGTGAAGACTGTACGGTGACGTTGGTGGAATGGGAAGGTGCACATCGGATACCGCTCAAGAGCATGGACGTTGATCGCGTAGTTGACGCGATATATGACATTGCTGAGATGACGGGGGTGAAAGTCTTGAGGACAGTTTGAGATGATGAGATGGCAGCTGAAATGAATGATTTTAATGAGGATGAGTCGCGCTGCCAGCAACGTTCCGGTCAAACAGACCTTCGAGTGATCATTCTCTTCACGCTATTCGGTAAAGACTGTTAGAATTACGTGCGCATGAGGATAACGCCCGTCTTGACTTCACGCTGTTCCATCACGAGCCGGAGATTTCCAACTATTTGATCAAACACTCTGATACTTGTAGGTATATGGGTTTTGCAATCTTCATCAATAACAGTCAAAACGACGACTTCGTGCCTAGTCAGATCCCAGGCCCAGGACGAGCAGTCCTCGGTATTCCGATAGCAAAGAAGCTCGGTTTCCCTTTCGCCATTTATCCCTTGTGACCTGGCCTTGCGTGGCGACATCGACGCTTGGTATCCGACAATAACCCAGACACTGAGATGACTGAAGAACGGAACCACTGTCTCGAGTCGATGAACCCAGCTCTCTGGCAGGTGATGCCCGCCTGGTTGGCAGTAGCACGCGAAGACCGCTGACCGCTGACGTTGCGCAAGTGCATGCGTTGAAATTATACTGCGTGGAACTAGGCTTTCGCAGGGGTGGTATGCTTCCAGGCAGTGACGACATAAATCCACGGTGTGAAATAGTATTCGAGGTAGATCCATTCGTGCAAGCGAAAGCAGACTACATGTTGGAGAAGGCGAACGAGCAAGACTTTCTGGTAGTGTGGGGCGAATCAATGCGAAATTCTGGACGGGAAAAGTATGGCAATGTAGCTAAAATGCGATACGGCTAGATAATTACAGGAGTGGTCGATGAATAACCAGAATTGTTATCAACCACTCTCGTGATCATCCAGCCGTATTGCATTTTAAGAGCAACATCAAGGAGAAGATTGATAAATTACATTAGTCATGTTACGATGCATTCTCCTCCTGTTTTGCCCTTTTCTCTTGTTCCTCGCTTTTGAGCCTCCTCTTCTCCGCCAACTCCTGTCTCCATTTCATTCCATCCTTCATGACCCAAAACACAACACCTAGCAACACCGCCATGATCAGCGCTATGAATGTAAATGCCCACCCCGGGTTCATAGCATGACACATGGGGATAATCGCCGCAGTACCACCAGCACTCATCAGACACCTGGCGAAGTTGACTGCCGCAGTTGCAGCTGCAGGCTTATCGCGGTGCAAATCAATGAGTAAGCCATTGGTGATGTTGAAAGCACCAGTGACACCAAAGCCCATGATGAACAGAGCGACTTCAGGACCCGCAATGTGTGTTCTGAATTTGAGAGTCCATCCGAAGATGATGAGTCCAAACATGCCAATGATGTGGCACGGAATTAAGATCTGCAGGCGAACACGCTCGATGGGGAAGTTGCTGAGATCTTGTTGTTTGCCCTTGGAGATGGTCATACCAACAGCTTTGGCATAGCGGCGGAAGTTCCAGTCGACAACTCGACCCATGGTTAGCGAGGCGATAAGGGAAGCTACACCGTTGGAGATGTAGCAAAGACCGACATGTAATTCGTTGAGGCCATATGCGGCATAGAATAGTTCTGGGATCGCGGAGACAGTGACCATCATACCAGTGAAGAAGAGGCCATTATAGAGTAAAAGAATCCCAGACTCCTTCTCGGCTAGAATTCGGAACGTCGCAAGCGGGTTCGGCCAGGCGACCTTTTTCTTCTCGGGCTTAGGAGTGACCTCGTCAGGTGACAGCTTTGCAAGCTTGCGAGCTTGTATGCAGCTGATGACTGAGCGGTTGACACCCTGAGGAGGAATAGAGCCGTTGCCAACGACTTTCCGGCAAGTCTCAGGGAACAATAACACGAACAACACAAGCAGCACGCCAGAGAAGATGGCAAGGAACCAGAAGATGGATCGCCAGCCAAGGTATTGCGCCAGCAGACCGCCTATCGTCGGACCGAAAGCAGGACCCATCAATACACCGGCTTGTGCGTAACCCATGTAGGTGCCTCGCTCAGCCGACGTGGATATATCCGCGACAACCGCCATTGTCAACGCAATAGCAGCCGTGCCACCAACGGCTTGTACCATGCGCAGGATGAGAAGGGCGATGTAGTTTGTTTGGAGTGCGAGGCCGATGTTGCCGATGCTATAGATGATGAAGCATATGATGAAGGTCAGCCTTCGCCCGCTGTTGTCCGATAAAGTCCCAAGGAAAGCGGGAGCAATAGCTTGTGCGATCTGTGATAGTCAGTTGTGGTCTAGATCATCGACTGAGTGTACTGCGTCAGCGGTAATTGGGTTATGGGAAGCCTTTGGGGTACCAAAAGCGTTCCCTATCTCGTTGAATGTGAAGAAGAAATTTTTAGGCATACCATGTACGTTGTAATTGAAATGTTGACCTGCGTAGGTGTAATATCCAGGACGTCGGAGAGCACATTAAGCGCCGGAAGGAACATGGACGCGCCAAACGGGGATATCAGAGCTGAGATAGACACCAAGAAGATAATCCAGGTCTTCATGCCTTTACTGAAGACGGAGTAGGGAGGCTCAGAGGCCTGTCGTTCCAGGTCGTCTTGCAGTCCATCTTTTTCGATATCCACCTCCTGGCTCCTTCTCTCTTTGTCACTAGCAACATCCAGGTTATCGTCGCTTGCTGTGTCTTTGGGGGTGGCCATGGCGATGCTGTTATGACTTTAGCATGAGGGGCGGTGTGAGTTCGAGTGGTATGTTAACGCTAGCAGATGCCTCAACAAGCTGCCAGTGTAGAGTGGCGTGGGAATTGTTTCGAGGTCTATGGAAGGCGAGGCTGGAAGAGTTATCGACCCAGGTCATGGGGATGTGCCCACCCTTAATTCGTCTGGTCGCCTGTCGAACATGACGCTAGCGCCGGGACGTGGAGAGCATGCCGTGCCCCGTTGAATCTCGCTCCGCAACATTCTTAATTCCAGGGTTTGGATGCGTGTGAACGAAGTGCTGTATGCACGCCGGGGAGCAGCCGGCCGATGTTGACCGACCATTGTGCAGGGTGGGAGTATCGAATGGCACCCGATGTAGACAGCTGGGGTATGAAGGCGTTGCTGCTGTATCTCTGTCCCTACGGTACGCCTCTGTGGAGCGATGACGCACTTGCAGACGCCTTGAAAGAGGCAGGTGGGTTGGTGGCCGGGTCGCATCCGGGTATAAGATATCGGAACCTCTTATCCGCGCGCCATCGGGCGTTTTAATGCCGAAGGCCATCACCCACCCGATGTTTAGCCTGCTCTAACAGGATCGACTTCGGTCGAGGTTGAGACAAGCTTTTGCAACGAGGCCCTGTGTGGTCGTGGATTACTTCATTCGATTGGTGCGTTCTGCCCTCTGAGAGGCTGCGGACGGTCCTACTCAACGCTTCAAAGCCGAAGCGGCGTACGTCACTACAACGACGCAAAGTACGCTCTTAACACTGGACAAACATCTATAACAGTATTCAGTACATACCACGTGCTCCTAATCCCGTGCTTCTTAAATCTTCCTGTTCGCTTAACGCCGATAACATGCTCTTTTTCGTAAAGTCGTGGAGGACTCGCTTGGAACCTAGCCCGATGATGGTTCCTACGTGTATATGTCGTCGTCACCGTGGAAGAATCTCAAAACTGCCTGGGCAACGAGAAGGCCATCGTGCATCCAATCTGCTCTCTCTGCGGCTTCGTTCGCATCCTTTTTACTGACACTCCCACTCTCGACCCTCATCTCTAACTGCCTCTTCACAAGAGCCTCATCAAACTCCATGTGACCTTGTGTGGTGAATAGCCTCTTGTGGATATACACGCCCTGCACACCTGTATGCTCGCTGGTACCCCAGACATGTACCTTGGTGTTCTTCGGTATCAGATCAGTCGTCTCAGTGGACGGAGGATTGACGACGTGATCGAGATGCATTTGATGAAGATGGATCTTGGACTCGGTTTCGGACAGGTTGAAGAGGTTGCGGCCAAGTTCAGACAATTGGATGGGTTGGTGGGAAAGTTCCCATTCACCATCCTTCTGGGGTTTGACGGTTGCGCCGAGAGTCCTGCAAAGGATTTGATGTCCGAAACAAATTCCTGTGAAGCGGATATCGGGGCGATGTTGCCACACGTCTGTTATGTATTTAGCTACTGCTTTTCCCCTCAACTCAAGATTATTCTGAGACACATACCTTTGATGAACTGCATGAGCTTGAGGATCCAGGGGTCGTTACCGTGCGCGTCCCAGCAGCTACCCGTGATTAGAATAGCATGGACATCGTCGCCAATCTCCTCCAACTTTGGTATGGCGCCACCTTCCGGTTCGACCACATATTGCATGGCAGTTTCGATACCTAGACTGGGCTTGTGCGCGTCTCCGGCTTTCTTGAGAAGTTGGCCCAAAACAACCCCAAAGGATCCCGTCTCTTTTTGCGTGTCGGGATGTGTCTCATCAGTCTCAAGCACAAGCATGCGGACTTTGTCCGGATGATTGGACAGGAGTGTTCGGTTTTGTGCAATCGGTGGTACCATTTTTACTGTTGTCGTGTGGAATTGGCGTGGTGTGGAGACAAGAAAGTTGTGTGAGTTGCCAGGTCTGCAGGCCGTAGGTCTATGTACACAGGGTCCAGCTGCTCTTTTTGCGAAAAGTGACGTCTGTCGTAGAAAGTTTTGCCCAGAGGTGACGACGCGTGCAGGTTTGTACATAATCAGAGCAAGTCCGAGGAGTCAAATGCAAATACCCAGAGCCGCCGCGCCGTCCAGAGCAGTCTCATGTAGTATTCTTCGGCCTCCATCTTGGCAATGTCGTGTTTGAGGGTTCGATGACGAGTTTGCTTTGACGTCGGGTAGCGGTGGACAGAGTCTTTGGCCTAAAGTTGAAAGTTTAACGTAATAGCGAGGTCTTGGAAGCTCTGGTGGATTCCGATGTCCCGGCGAATTCAGAACATGACAGACGCTACCACGCTAGACATGCAGGTACTGAAGATTCATGTGGCTGCGTGGCTGAGCGCACTGGTTTGATTCGTCTATTTGTCTACCGACTAATTCCATGCTGTGGCTGCTGCATCTACTCCACGCCCTTTCCCTTCATCTTGAGGTCTTCGGGATCATGCGGGGCTTCGGCTTTCTTCCCTGCCGATTCCTTACCAGTCAACACTTCGGTGAATACCTTTCGCAGCGCTTCGATCGCTTCCTCGCCAATCTGGTAATGCACCACAAACCGACCACCGCGCACCCTTACGCCGTACTTCTCCGCTAGCTCGATAAAGTTGTTGATGTCAACATGATGCGCGTCCAGATCTAGCCAAACCATGTTGGTGTCTACGGGGTATTGCAGCTTGCCTCCAAGATCTGTCCAAATGCTCGCAATCTTCTTCGCGTTCTCGTGAGATTGGGTGAGCTTGCCACCGAGGAATGTCTCCTCAATGGCAACGCGCATGGGAGCCGCAACAACACCGGCTTGCCGCAAACCTCCACCAATGGACTTGCGGATCCAGCGGCTCCGCTTGATGAACTCCTTCGTACCAACGAGGATGCTACCAATCGGCGCGCCGAGGCCCTTGCTTATGCACAGGCTTATGCTATCGAACTCGGCGCAGTAGTCTTTGAGAGAACCGGCACCTGCAGCTACAGCTTCCCACAGACGCGCACCGTCTAAGTGCATTATGATGTCGTGCTCGCGCGCCCAAGCTGATATGCGCTTGACCTCGGACAGAGGCATAATCGCGCCATTGAGCGTGTTTTCGAGCGATATGAGGCGTGTAGGGCAGGCATGGACGTCATCGGAGATGACAACGTACTTTTGGATATCTTCCAGTGTGAGGTATGTCCCGTTCTTCGCATCCAGCGGTTGCACCATGGCCTGGCTCAGTGTCGCTACACCGCCCGCCTCGTAGTTGATGATATGGCCACGTCGATCGACGATGACGGCGTGTGGAGGGGTGGTAAGGTGTGCTCGGAATGCCACCTGGTTGCCCATGGTGCCGGAGAGCACCAGGAGAGCCTCCTCCTTCCCGCTGAGATCGGCAACGAATCGCTCGAGCGACAGTGTGGTCGGGTCTTCCATGGTGACGTCGTCGAGCAGGGTGCACTCCTGGATGGCTTTCAGCATCGACATGGTCGGTGTGGTGTGCACATCGGAGCGGAAGTCAAAGGCCGCTGGGTTGTGCTCGCCGCCCCAGGCATTGCCATTGTGACTTGTGCCATTGGTTGTGCTTTTGCTGCTCTTAGCAGTGTACTGGGAGAGCTCCGACATGGCTGAGTATGGCCGTGACGAGTGCAGCTGGCGCAGGGGGTGCAGCGCGGGGTGGACGAGGGGTGCGGTGAAGGCTCGACTAGGCGCTTTCAGGGTCTTTGCTGGCTGGAGGTGAGGTCAATCGCACAGTCTGTGGACGGGACCACGTACTGCAGAGGCGAGTGAGGGGATATAAACGCGGTGGCGGCATTGCGGCGGCATGTTCAGAGGAAGGGCGCAAGGCGTGAAGCAACCGAAGGTAGCAAGCCGAAGATAGGCGAGTACGGCGGGCGAGGCTGCTGCCAGCGCGGAAACCCCACCACTCCGATTCGCCCAACCTTACCTCTACAACCATCGCAACAGGAAGGCGACTAACCCGAGTACCCCAGTAACTCCTGCATTACAAACCATTCCCGACGGAAACCACCACCGCCCAAGCAGCGGCGTCGGTGGAAGAGGGCTCGACAGTATCGATGACCTGGCGCACGCCTTGTCAGCGTATTGGGCTGGCGATGTATCTCATTGAGAGTAAACATACTTTCCTATGAACATCATGCTGCAGCTTGCATTCAGCCAAAGAGTCATAATGCTGCCCTGAAGGCTTCCACGTCCTCTTCCTCCCTGGAGGCAGGCGCAGGACTGAGGGACTCAGCAAGACAATCTTGCTACGAGTTGTGGAAGCAGCAGCCTTGAACAAAGGAACAACAACAACCAGACGTTCGGTATCTAGAATCCAGCCTTGAAAGTCGCAATACATCCAGCCATTTGAGTTCCTCTACTCCACTCAACACTCCCCAATCACCCATACACGATCGCTAATGCTGTATGCGGCTGAACTCTAGATTTCATTATTACATCATGCGAAAGCAGTTACGACATGATCGATTTCCTGGATACTTTGAGTAGCTTTTCGTCTCTTATCAATTTCATATCCCCGGTTATTCGCAATCCTGGCCGACAATATGGAAGTCCACTTCTTCCAGCCAATCTACCACAAGCGAGTGCCTTTGGGCCGCACATAGTGCCTGAACTGCGTAGAGTGCCCACGACGCGTAACATCCTTCATATTAAGTACAGTCTGCTTGCGGCCGCCATCATGCCCGCTGTAAGGTACAATCTGTACCGACCGGGCCAGCGCGGGCCTGACGTATGACACTCTGGGTTCTAGAAGCCCGCCTTGATATCCTGGGATCTCTCTACTTTTAGCTACCTGCTTCTCCAAAGTCCTTGTTGGATACGCCTCGCAAACATGTCCATACTTCTTCCTCTTTACGTGTACCCAAGTGCAGGCGCCTGGGATCCGCTATACGCCGCGTACGTAAACCGTTCTTTGCTAGAGTGTATAATACTGACCAAGAGCCAGCGCGGAAGCGCATAGAAACGTAGACTTCAATGTCATCATCAACCCCTGCTCCGGCCCTTGTATGGGGTCACTCCCCGATCAAGTGTACCTCGACGAAGTTCCCAAATTACGAGCCTACCCAAACATCCGCACATTGGGATACGTCGCGACAGACTACGCAGACAAGCCTATCGAAAGCTTATTAGCAGAAATTGACACCTACGCGCGCTGGCCCAAAGTAACGAACATAACGAAGATGCGCGTTGACGGAATCTTCTTAGACGAGACACCAAGTACTTTCGATGAAGACGCGTACGCATACTTGAAGACGGCGAACCAAGCGATCAAGAACAATACCGTATTCAACGACCGCTTTGTGGCTCACAACCCCGGTCTGATACCCACTACCATCCTCACCTCGCCCACAGTGCTCCAAGAATCCTACCTTAACCTCACCGATCTCACTGTCGTATTCGAAGAGACTTTCGATAAGTGGCTTGAAAGAGACGTCATGGTTCCTTTACAGGCACACAAGATTCGCCGTTCGAAGCTGGCCGTCATATTGCATTCCTTGCCGAATCTGACAGGAGAGGTGCTAGAGTTCATGGTGCAGCAGGTTGAGAACACGGCGGATTGGATATTCTTGACCGATAGTGCGGATGACTATTATCACACCTTTAGCGCTATGTTTGGAGACCTGGTGAAGGCGGTTGATGGGAGTAGTTGAGCGGAAGAAAGGGTTCCAAGCTAAAACGATCGCTGCGTAACTTTAGAATCGCAATCATCCGTTGCTTTGGTATAGTCAGACCTCTCTCTAACGGCGCCCCGTCGGATGGTCATAAAACCTGCACCAATCGTTGAGCATGAAGTCATCCCAAACATCCTAAATCTTTTTCCCCATTAAGAATTCTTCTTCCTGTCTGTAGACACCGCGAGGGACGTGTCTTTGACGATTGTAGTTGCGGATTGCAAACATGTAACCACAGTTAGGGAAACAAAGATCCACTGTCTACTGCTAACGGAAGCGTCGTTAGAGGGTATTGCAACCACTTTGATGAACAAAAGGATTCATGGATGCGACTCCTTTGTAATAGATCCTGCGCCAAGGAACTAACCCCACTTGGGCCGAGCCACAGGGATGGACGCGCAGCGATCCATGGATGCCAAACATCGTCTTTCCCAATAAACACTGCGTACCCGGTACATAGTCGTGGGCCAACGCCTCTGTGAGAACCTATCTTCTAATCAACTCATTCTTCTTACGATCAATATGGGCGACTCAGAAGCCCTGGAGCCATACCGCCTTACGGGTCCTAAGAGAGACATATTGGACCAATGCTTCACAGACGCCCCCGTACCAGATGAGATGTTACAGACACATCAAAAACGACCCATGCCATCCAGATTGCTCCATTTACTTGATAAGATGCTCATCCCATCCGAAGAGTTGAAACAAGCCACATACCGGAGCATCAGTCGCGCGTGGGACGAGTACGCAGCCGGCGGCGAGAACCCTAGCGCATTCATGCGATCACCGACTGGAGCGCCTTACAAGATAGTCTCTATTGAAGGTAAAGGGCGCGGGGTTGTTGCGACTCGCGACATCAAAGCTGGCGAAACTGTTTTGCAGGAGTCACCCGTCCTAATTGTGCCGCACGGCCAGTTTTCGCCTCTGATCTTACTCCTCTTACCCAAGCAAGCCTTGGAAGCCATCTTGCTCTTGCACAATGCGCAACCTGATGAAACACCATACACAAAGAAGGAGGATTTTGCTCATAATCGTCTTATTGATGCGCTTATGGGTTGTGTGACTACCAATGCATTCGAAGGTGGGGCCTCATTTGGCCAAATTGGAATGGTTCTTTTGACTGGGTCGATGTTCAATCACGAAAGCAACCCAAACGTCAGGAGGCATTGGGATCAGCAGCTGGAGCAGATGGTGTTCAAGACGGTTCGAGATGTCAAGGAGGGCGACGAGTTCACGGTCCATTACTCCGGCTCTGCAGAGAATCTGAGGAAGTACGGCATCTGATACAAACAGCGACCGGTACAACACCGAGGAGACCGCATCTGCTTACATGGTCGCAAAACACCAATGTTGAAATGTACCATACATCACGTTCTGGGTCTTTAAGAGCCGCACTGCCGAGCGTTCAGATAGGAATTAGGGTATCTTTAATAAGTGGTATCTAGAAACTCGAAATGCTAGTGCTGCTACTCGTATTTTTCGGCTTGTGTGGTCCAAACTGGTCCATCTCCATTTGCACAAGTGATTGCTCATCATGATCGGCATGCCGTATTTCGAAGGTCTTGGTGTATGTGATAGCGTTTGGGTCTCGCGCGCCGTTCGAGACGGCCGATCGTCCTGGACCACTGGCCAACGCACTACCGCCCTTCTTCATGCCATGACTTTGGCTACCGTATGCGTAGTAGGGTCGTTCGGTGGCTTTGGTTGTGCCGAGAATCTTGGGGAATAAGTGTACGAGTATGACGCGTAGCGCAGGCAGGCAGGCGCAGATAATGCCAACATTGATCTCGATATTGGACCAATTTATGACGTCAGCTTGATCCCATGTTGGATTGGATGAGGCGGCGAAGTTGACGAGAGATGACAGACGAAGGATTGAAATGATGGTAACACTGAGGTTTGAGTCAGTAATTATCGTCTGCAGACCGTTGGAAGTGGAACTTACAATGTACCGACGCAGAACATAACAGCGACGCTAAGCTTCTTGCGCCAGGAAAGCTGCAGGTGGAACACCTCATACAAGGGCAAAGCGAGCATCCAGATGTCCAAGACAATGCTGATGATGGCATTGGTCCACGCTAACCCATTGATGTCGATACATTGGCCGGATCCTTCTCCATCCCATTTGGTCCAGTAGAACGAGATCGGTCGGCATTGGAAGATGGCCACCAACGTGAACGCAAGACCGTTGAGGCAGTTGAAGGCAATGGTTGCCCATAGTAGTCGCCTGATGCTGGGTTTCGGAAATATTCGCAGGAAAAAGAACAAGAGCGTAAGCTTCAGAAGCGCGACCTGAATAAAATAGAGGACTTCCAGAGCGTAGAGATATCTGACGAAGTCGGTGATTTGTTGGAAGCTGACGGTCCATACATCTCGTCCTAGACCGTTTGGAACAATAGCTCTATCGATGATGACCACAGATGGAACACCAGCTATTAGTGCGGCCAAAACACTGTAGTCGTCGTAGCCAAGTTCACCGACGGAGAAAACGGCTTTGTATATGATCCTGGAGAGCGCACAAACGGCGGTGACGATCGAAAGAATCAAGTTAGATACACGAATTGAATCGCCGGAGTAACGGATCGGAGCGTGACAACTTGTTGTGGTAACGTTTTTGGTTGCTAAGAATCGCAATCAGCAACAGTAAGCACGCTGACATAGCCTGGAGCACTCACTCAAACTCTGTCTCAGTGTGCATGACTTCATGACACATGCCTCTACCTCGCCTTGCATTTTGGCATCTGCACATACGGAGGCCTGGTCTGTATGCTGTACTGGCGATTGGGCAACTGCAGTGGCAAGACACACTTGCTGGAAAACAGTCAACAAATGCTGGGGAAATTACTCCGCTTGAACATACCGCGCATTGAGGAAGTTGCTCAATCACTGCCAGTAGAGCCGATTCCTGAGCGACTACCAGCTGTACCCATGCCAGCAATGGGAAGAGCAAATGAAGGGGCCTCATCCTTCTTCGTACTCGCACACGACCTTCGTGTACGATCGAACGGCCAGGAAGTGTGAGGCGGAATGGAAAAGACTGCGATGGACCGGTTCAGACCCTTACTATAAACTTCGTGGGAGGTCGGAGAACATCAAGAGCTGTCAAGAGTGCCAGACCCGGTCGCTTAGTTTCCGGGGCCTGCTCTATATGAGACCATAAGGGAAGGGAATAACTGCAAGTACATTTAACCATTGGGCATGGGGGACGGCAAGTGCAGATTGAGGTATACAGTGGGGCTGGACCGCCTCTAGTGCTTCTCTTCGAGGGTCATGCATCTTCCGTACCAGAGGTGTATGTCTCGCCGTAGAGATGATCCCTGGCATATGCACGGAAGGACTTGCACTAGATTCCATGATTATTGAATACAACCAATGGGTCGGCTGAAACTCAGGGCGAATGGAGGTGTTGCCCCAGACCAGTCCAAGTGGGCCCTTGCTGACGCTTCGCAGGGCAGACACTACCAACGACGGAGGTTATACTTTTCAGGAACAGTGGTTTGTCGACGCTAAGTGGACTTCGCCTAATATGCAGGTCGCTCATGAGGTCCAGGAAAGGAGACACGTCCTTCGTATGCACCCTGGCTACCAGCAACCTTATCTATCTGCCTGGTTAGCACAGAACATACGAAACTCACGTGAGAATTCTCCGATCATTGCCATTCAATTGCATACCCTGCCATGGCTTGTTTGCTTCCGCATGTATTGGAGCCTTTGAGGTTCCGGAAGGTTGACCAAAGATGGTGGTTCGTTCCGCAACGCCACAGGCGAGCGATTTTGCGCACAGGTAAACAGCTTGGCGTACGTACGCCACTAGCACGCGTGCATGCCGTTTGCTCCACCTCGCGTCCGCTCAACCGCCGCCGAGCTTCGACCGCTACCGCTGCACTCTTCGCGGCTCAGAAAAATCACATGGGGCCCATTTGCTTTTCGAAGATCATGTTCACTGACTCTCACAACGTTGACGATCGACTTGTGGAGACCGATGCGGTATTCGCGATACGCGAGGCAGGAATACAGCCTTTCCATGTGTTTCACGACACGTCTTACTACTCATCAACAGAGCTGCATACGAACGTGCCGCTTTTGTTCACATGTCATTTGGACGCTGGTCTGAGTGTCACAGACGGGAGAGACTGCGGAGTGCAGGAACTTGACGGCCTGGAAACGGCCATTTCTTCGGCTAACGTTCCAAACCACTGTGTCGCAGCAAGGTGTGGCACGTATTCTTTAGCATACCCAAGGTCTGTGGTAGCCTGGAATACCCAGCCGTTTTGTTGAGCATCAGCAACTTCCTGGTACGGTTCCAATCTCGCCGTCTCTGAGCTAAGAAGCGAAGCCCTCAATCATGTCGAGCATCCGGAAAAATCGAAATGATCTAGGAGCTATACCCCCGAGATCTTTCAGCCGCGTCCGAAGCATCATGTCTTTTGCGGTCATTGATTGGTGTGAGAAATTTTGTGCATCAGCGTTACTCAATAGCATTGCCACGGGAAAAGTTCTCGAATTCGTCGACGTTCCATGACATGGCTGCAAAACGTATCCCGGCTGATACCTCAGCCCTACAAGGTATACCTGATGCACGCTCGAAACAGACCCATGCGATTGCGTGAAACTCCGTCGCTATCGCGTCCAATGTCCCCTTTCTTCGTGAGAATCGTCACTATCCGAGTCGGTATTAGTGGGGCAATTTAGCGATGGCATGAGATTTGACTCGCAGCGTCTTCCTCGATTCAAGCAAAACATGCGTGCGCATCCCTCAGGATCACGATACTTCGCGAATGATGTGTGGCGCGCTTCAGGTTTCGCTGGTTCGTTGTCGGTCCGACGTCGTAATCCCCAGATCACGAGCGCGGGACCCTGCGGTTTTGCTTTTCTGTTCCAGCCATGATGGCGCAAATCTTCGGATTGCGTATACTAGACGCAAGCATCCCGACTGCACATCCAAAGGTTTCTTCACGGTCCAGTGCAGTGGCACCCTTACGATTGACTAACGCGTTAGCAGATGGCATCTTCCGTGCACGTGTCGTCGTCCAGTTACGCGAGGTCGACGATCTCCACGTAGCAAAGACCAGCGAAACCATCGAGTGCTGCAAATTCAGGAGAACAATCCTTACAGATCCCACCCTCTATGACACTCAGGCAACCTACTATCGAGAAGGTCATACAAGCTGAGTCCCCACTCTGCTCAGCCGCAAGTCAGCTCCAGCTGTCACTTTCGGGCCGCGCCCTCTGCAACGAGCCAACGTTTCGGTAACCAAACTTTGTATCTCCAGTGCCACGCGTGACGACATGCGGCCAGCGCAGGCATCGGCAATTGCCTTTACGCAAACATAGGTAACTCACTCGCGTGGTCTTCGTTTACCACCCTCGGATCTACGCGGGTCGATCTCTCGGTTGCCTGTACCAAACGGTCAGTCACCGGCATCACGCATCGGCATCTGCCAGGGGCCGACGATCACAACGTGGGCTTGACGAAAACGACCACTACTCTCGGGTGACTAGCCAAAGCCGTTTCTATATGCAAGGGCAATATCGACCATACTGCAAGGAGCTGCCATTGGTACTTCCTAATTGAGAGTCATCCAATTGATTTTTCAACCCCTTTGGTCTTGCAGCCCTCATAGGCCACCCTTTTTCGAGACTCCATGTCTATATGTGACTGCGTTTAGGTATCAAAACTTCAACATTCAGCTATCTCTACACCACATGTGTACTTACTCCTACCACCGGCAAAAAGAGACTCCCTATCAGCACGAGTCCGAGACGATACCAAGACTACCAACCTCTTCAGTAACGCTGGCCGTCTCGCCTCGACTATGGGTTCCCACTTGTCCTAGTGGTGACTATCTTCACGTGTATGGCGAGCAAAATCGCAAGCAGCCGTTCTTCATGATCGACAAAGCTCGAGCTTCGCCGGTAGTTTCGAGCGTATACCGAAGTCATGTGCCGAAAACCCATACTCTCATGTGGCTGACGCATTTCACGATGACGTAAAAACTGGCCTCCTACTTTGCTCTTTTCCTCTTTTCCTCCTATCAAACTTTTTCTTGGAATCGAAGAAAGCATGAACATACCGACGCTTTCGTGGATTAACATTCTCTCCCTTCCGTGTAGGTGGCATATCTCAGAAGGGAATGTAAGTACTCGATGACACGTGAGCCTCACGACACTGCACTACGATCCGCATCTCCGGTCACGCATCTATCACTGCATATCCGAAAAGCTAATTTGACAAAACTGCTACGAACCGACACATGCAGGTTGCCGCTGGAGCTCTCCAGGCT